TCAAATATATGGATTTCACAAAGCAAAAGGCTGCTATAGGATGCACAGAGTGCTGCTCCTACCGTATTAAGCAATGCACAGAATATTTATTTATGGTCAAAAGTTTTTCTAGTGCATGTGAGGATATGTCAAACATCAAGTAAATGTGTGATTCAAACAAAGCTACCACTACATATGCATATTAATTTACTATACTACACACGGAAGGCACAAGTCTATGGATCCATGACATTAATTAGACATATGGCCCACATATAATAATGCTTTAGTTTTGCACCTCATCAAATGAAGTACAAATCAAATTATAAAAATGCGGAAAATAAGAAGATACTGATAATAATTAAGGTGTTATATGTGTGAGTACTAGCTTCTTTTTTCTTCTTTCTATTAGCTTGATATTATTCAACAATACAAGGTATTAGGTCCATAGCTGGAAATTAAGAACAGGAATAGATAAACACTTGTTATTAGATGTTTAGTTCACACTACAACTCTCGAGAGGATATGGATCTCAAAAATATAAGTCGAGTTGAATTTAAGTATTTATAAATAAAAAAATTTATAGAAAAAATGCATATTTATTATATTAAAGTAATAAAATATAATAAATGTATTTTTTTAATAAAATTTTACAATTATGAGATATTTATTTTTCTTGTTTAGAAAAAAATATTCAAATTATCTTTACACCTAACTATGGACTAAAGTATAGCATTAATATTCTCTAAAAGTATCTATTATTTCACAGGGAACACAATAATTTTTTTAGGTCATAGTAAACACAACAACTGAGGAAGGCTTAAGTCATTTTACTTAAGTGGGTACATGCTTTTTTTCTTATATTTTATGACTTGGAAGATTTAAACATATTTGAGATTCACGAGACATGTAGGTACTAACAGTTTCTTCACTATAATTACTTTATTGTCTCAAATTTTCAGGTAATACCCCTTAAAACACAGGTAACAAACTTCAAGAAAGTAGCAAGCTGGTTGAGGCATGAGTTAGGCAGCTCTGATGCAAAAAATTTTTTATCAGAAGCTGTCTACTTGTTTAGCATCGGATCTAACGATTACCTTAGCCCATTCTTGACTGATTCTGTTCTTATTAACTCTCACTCTCCACAATACGTTGGCATGATTGTTGGAAACTTGACGTCCATTTTGAAGGTACAGATATTCATGATTCGCTTCTCTGTTCAAAATAATTAATCTATATATATTTTCGCATGCAAAATTATAGACTGAAGCTTCTACTATGGGATTCGTTGATCGAATGCTGCAATTTCCATATGTTAATCATCATAGGTTAGTTTAAGATGGAGTTTATAAAACTAGATATAAAAAAGTATTTGAAAAGGGGAACATGTTTGCATCTGTTCGCCCACATTAAGTGATGGCAAATCAACTCAAGAAACCAAAAGTAAAATGTTATATATTTTGATATCATTTGGTCATAAATGTGATGTATTATATATATGATAATTTTTTTTTTCTAAATTCTAATTTACTACTTTTGTCATAAATGTGATGTTATCAAATATGTTGTCAAATTATAATGAAGTCCTTGCTCTTTTTGTATGCATGGTGAGGATACAGGTTGGTGAGTTTTAATTCAAACTCGTGACTTTGACTATTGTAATACTTTCAGGAGATATATAAGACGGGCTAGAAAATTTGGGTTGATGAACGTGCCACCCTTGGGTTGTCTTCCTGGCACAAGAATACTAAATTCAAAAGGAAATGGTAGTTGCTTGGAAGAGCTTTCAGGCCTTGCAAGTTTGCATAATCAAGCTCTGTCTCAGCTTCTGTTGCAATTAGAGAATCAGCTTAAAGGATTTAAGTATTCTCTATATGATTTCAATGCCGATCTCACAAGCAGGATCAACCATCCCTCAAAGTACGGTAAGTTTTATTTTAAAGAGATTTTTTTAATAAAAAAATTACATAATATGTAAATTATCTAAAATTAAAAGTCTAAAATGTGAATTATCATTTATAAAGTAAAAAAAAAAAACTTCAAATCAAAAGTGAAATAAAATAAAATTCATATTTGCGAGAAAAAATGAAAAAAATAAAATAAAATGCATTATAAGAATTTAAATTCATACACTCGTAATTGATATTATACTACTGAATAGCATGACATCATAAAAATACAAAACTAATATATATTTTTTTAAATATCTGTTTTAAACTTTTCTCAATAAGAAAATAAAAAAAGGCAAAATAAAGCTTTTAATGTAATATAAATTTAATTATAGTAAATCATGTAATATTACTTAAGTTATATTTGATTATGTATTTTTTTTATAACATTATAGCTTTTTTATTTTTATTCACCACATTACTTATTTTACAACTTTTTTTCTTCATATATTTCTTATAGTTATAAAAAAAGATTTATTATTATTTAAATACATTTTCTCATAGTGTTTTAATAGTAATATACATTGATTAATTTGAATAAACTATTTACAAATATTTAATTTTATATTTAATATTTACTTATATTTTAAATATTATATGCATTAAAATAAATGTAATTGATGAATTATTAATTTTTAAATTATATAAAATTTTATAAATCTAATTTACTCAGTAAGAGACTTAATACAAAAATTGTAATTGAAAAATCCAATATTTTTAAAAATATATATTTAAATTTAGGATATTTAATAAAATTAAACGAAAACTTATAATTTATAGTTGATAAAATAACTGAAAATATATAATTTATAACTAATTGATTGAATTAGAGATTTCTAGTAAAATTTATTGTATAATCAGTTTACATGTGTTAAATGATTAAAAAAGAGGTGTTAAAATTGTTTATATATATATAAATATAAATTGGTTACAAAATCAAGGATAAAAATAAAAATGAGTAAAAGTTAACTTTTAATAAGCTGAGGTTACTTGAAATAAACTTTTTATAAATTAGTTTTCAAAAATTATAAGTTATCTTTTAAAAAATATAAATTGTTTATAATTTTTTATTTATAAAACAGTTCTATTACTTTATTAAAAAAATAATAATAAACTGTTGAACTAACTATAAACGTATATTATCGATCACGCTCCAATAAATTCGTATCCTTGTTTATTAAAATAGTAAATTACTGAGTTTGGTTGTTGTCATATCGGCGATGATGATGATGATTAGCACAGAATAATTGTTTTGGTTGGGTGATTACTAGAATATTCCATTTTACAGTCACATTTCTCTTTGTTGAATACATTCTTTTTCAATCAATAGTCTACTTAAAACACATTCTTCCTAAAAAGACCCATTATTATTAGCAGAGAATGATTAAAAATTACAAAATTAATTTTTTATAATGTTAATTAACAATAAAAATATAGATTAGAATGTGTAATCGTAGCCATTCTCATAAATGATACAGGTCTGAAGGAAGGAAAGTCAGCATGCTGTGGAAGGGGGCTACACAGAGGAGAATACAGCTGTGGAGGTAAAAGAGGGGATAAGCAATTTCAATTATGCCACACACCCAATCAATATTTGTTTTGGGATTCTTATCATCTTACGCAAACTGCTTACAAACAATTGGCAGCTAAGATGTGGGGTTATGCTGCCAAAGCCAATTCCCCCACTCTTAGGGATCTCTTTCAACTTTCTTGATTTTCTTTAATAATTATAAATCAAATAAGAAAATAATCATAGTCCCTTGTAGTTGTAGGACATTGCCTCATTATTTTCTGTGGTGATCGACTGTGTTTCTAATTCTGGCCATCTTCTATAGTGTGGCTCGTGATTTCGAGGGGTTTCCAGTCCAATATGGCCAAATACACGTAGGCATTTCTTGCTGGACCACCCTTGTGGCATTGGGTGTATCTAAGACTAAGCCCTTAGCAGCAACCACTGTGGTCGTTGTCTAAGCAGTAATTAACTCCATCATGGATATAAGTGCTACATCTCCCTTTGGGGGCCTCACACGTTATCCATAATATATCATGTTTAGATCATTTTAAGGTATTGAATCCGTGATTGAATACATATCTCTACTACGTTTGATTATAATGGGAAATAAGTCTATGTTTCTATATCGAGATTATATAGTTGTATATAAATGTCCATTAAATTGTGTTTGTATTGGACATACAAATATTCATACACAGCAATTTTCATAACATAAATTTAAAACATGAGGTCAATTTTAATGGACGACCAACACATCTTTTTTCTAAATTTAAACATTTTAAGTTTACATGTTAAACGTCAAATTATAGTTAAAATTGAAATATGAAATAACTTTAAAAATAAAAAATTAGTAAACAATTGATAATCTAAATTAGTGCGAGAAAAATGCAATCAAGGGAAGATATTAATCAGTGGATTACTTGGAACAGAAAACGGAAATTGTGACTTCGGCTTGGTATGATTTCAAAGCAAAGAAATAGAAAAATTGAAAACACGGATTATAACTTAACTTTCTTGTATGATTAAAAGAAAATTAAAAAAGTTTAACTTCTAAAAACATGTTTGTATTTTTAAAAAAAATTTTTTCTTAAATCCAAAAATAAGTAGTTACAATTAAAAGGATTACGGCAGGCACGCAATGAATGTGGGTTTCTCAAGCTGAATCGATTTGCTGTTGTTGGATTTTTGAATTTGAGCTTTACGATGAATAAGATATTATAATACAATTTTAAAATTTTAAGATAATAATTACATAAATCTATAACTTATTTATATTTTATTTTAAAAGAAACTCGATTCATACTTGATTCTAACGTGCAACAGCGATATTTGTAAATTTATCTCGCAAGTACGGTGGAGGACACATAGAAGTGATAGAACCTTCTGGAGACACAATCCAACAAAATATCTGGATTACCCTCCAATCTTAACCGTACATCATCTTCCTCTGCAATAAACAGTAATCAATTATTAAAAAAGTCGAAACATAGTATATTTTGTAACCTTAATTAATAATAATAAAAATACTATATAAGGAGGTTTGCTTCTGGAGAGTTCCTGAGGTGGGGGATCTCTACGGAGGAAGTGTTGTGTTTTTTCTCTGCTCTTCCCTCCAAATCGTTTCAGAAAATGTACCGGCAACCCAGCTTGAGGTGTGCTCCATGCCTTATAATGTTAACTGAAATAAAATAAACGGAAAAAGATTGTCGGTTTGATTAGTTGAGACGAGAGAGGGTTTTAAATTTAATGAATGGAGAAGGGGGGAGAGAAAGACAATGGCGACTTGTATGGGGTTCTGGGGTTAGAGCATGAGTGCACCCAATCTGAGCTCAAGAATGCCTATAAGCAACTTGCACTGGTTAGATATAATTCACACAACTTTGTCTCTCTTAAACAGTTTTCTTTGGTCTTCTCACCGCCTTTTTATTTCATTCATATCTGATGGGATAGAAATGGCACCCAGATCGTTGTTCAGCGTCGGGTGTGGAAGAAGCAAAGAAGAAATTCCAGACAATTCAGCACGCATATTCTGGTAAATTATCGTTGAGATGGATCGGACTCACTCACGCCTGTTCCATTGTTAATTTGACTGTGTTTGTTTATGTTATGTGTGTACCCTCCCTCCCCTCCCCAGTCTTATCTGACGCCAACAAAAGGTTCTTGTACGACGTAGGAGTGTATGACAGCGATGACGACCATAATGTAAGTACTCTCCGTCCTCCTCTTCTTGTTGGCCGTTGATTACTTATAATTGAATTTAATACAGGAGCGGTCACCAGTCAGCAGTGAGCATTCCTTGTTTGACCTATGTAATTGTAACCAATCCAATCTCAAATGTCAATTGTCACCTTTACACACAACATGCTACAAGTTCTCATGTGTTGCCGTCTAAACCCAAACGGTGGATTAAGTCCATACTAGAATTCCCTTTAAGGGATATATATAATTAATGGAATCAAATTAGATATTTGGGGACGAGCTCATGAAATGTTTGTCTGTGCAGGGCATGGGTGACTTCTTGAACGAAATGGCGACAATGATGAGCCAAACAAAACCCAATGTAAGCCCTTTTTGTTTTCCTCACTGCTCAGCCCCCTTTAATTTCATTGGAAACTTGGGTGACGTCGGTGGGCTAAAAGTTGCACGCTTTTCATGCCTTATTTTATTATTATTATTATTATTATTATTGTGTGGACAAAGCTAGACTGTTGGCCTTTGTCAAATACTATGTTGTTGCTATAACTTTTTCTGTCGCTTGATGAATGATTTTGCTGGGAAAGAGGAGGTGCTAGCTGGATTCAGCATAAGAATAAATATTTGTGGGTCCGTAAGGAATCACGAGCAGTGAGAGGGGCTAAGAGAATCTACTCCCGAAATCCAGCCTATAGTTAGTCCTTTCCCTTGTTAGCTCAACCCAAAGAGTAATCAACTTGGGACTCATAACACATACTGTTAAAAGGTGACAATACAACGTTGGAGGCTGGCCGTGCCCCGTGTCCGTGGGTCCTTGATATGCATCTCTATCTATAATCTATAATTTGTTACTAACACATTTGACAGGAAAAGGGAGAGGAGAGCTTTGAGGAGTTGCAACAGCTCTTTGAAGAAATGTTTCAAGCGGATATTGGGTCAGCGGGAAGCACTTCTCAAACTGCTCCTGGTTGTTCTGCTTCATCTACGTACGCCACTTATAGTGACAGTTCCACTGAGATTAATTTTGGAAAGTCAGAGGATACATCTGATTTCAATTCTAGCTACCAGAACTTCTGTTTAGGGGTTAGTATACTTTGGCAGAGTTAATACATTAATCAGTTGCGTCTCATATTTTGTCTCCTTCAAGATTGTCATGTAATTTACTACTAAAAATGAGGAAGGGAAGTATGTGGTTGAGGTAATTGGAAATGACAATGACGTCATCTAAATTGGTTCTTCGGATGGTAATTAAGGTTTTCTAAGAGTGTATGTTCTATATTGCATTAGACATTACATATAAGGAAAAGTGGCATTGTTGGTTATGAAACTACTCCAGTACACATAGATAGCAGCATCCTATTGATTGGGTATTTTATTGTTCATGATGTGAAGACAGGTGGAGCACCTTCAAGATCCCGCGAAGGAAAAGGGAACAACAGGAGGAGGAATTTGAGAATGAAGAGGTAGCATCTTATGCCATTTCTGCTGAGAAATCCATAATCTTAACTGTAGCAAGCTGATAGCAAAATTCTAATTTCGGCAAGACAGGAACTACATTTCATGGGAGAGGAAATTTCTTAGTATAGTTCGTATTATGTCACCAAATTCTCCTAGCCTCCTCCGCCCATGCCTCGCAAATGTATGATGGCAGCGCCACCGTCTCTTCTATCTAAATCCTCTTTGATTATTATTTTTTAATTCAAAGCCTCTTTCTTTGTTAATGTTAAGGACCTTTAATTACCTTATCTTTTAAATTAAAATGCGTTGTAATTATAAAACAAATTTGTTTTAGATTAAATTTAAAAAATATATTCTTAGTTTTCTTTTAAAGTTTGAATAAATGGACCTTTAATTACTAAAAATTAGTTTTAAGGTGTGTTTGGGAGTTATAATGTAAAAAGGGAAAATGTTAATTTTAGCCCTAGCAACTAATAATAGTACAATTTAATTAAAAAATATTTATTATTCTTTTATAATTTTAATGTAATAAATATGCACTTTTTTCATTAACTTTTTTCTATTTATATATGTTTAAACTTGGCTTTAGTTGATGTTAATAAAATTCAACATAAAAAATTGTTACTATTATATAATTTTGGTAATTTTTAAAATAAAAATTAAATATAATTTAATATTTTAATCTTATTTATATTTTTATAATATTATGTAATTTAATATTTTAATCTTTTATATATCTTTTACACCTAAATATTGCTTACGGAGGAGAAAAAATAGCTACTCAATGGAGGTTAGTAAAGTTCTGTTTCACAAGCATGAAAGACTAAAGAAGTCATGATTACAATGCAATATAAAATACAACAAAGTTTGGTAAATTAGGTTTGAATACTCATCATATGTATGGAAAAAGAAAGTTTATTTAAAGAGATCAATTTTAATTATCTTTATGGTTTAAAAGGATTACTCTCCAGTGGTCCAAAAGATTATCACTTTCAGCCATCAATAAGAGAATAGTTAACTTTATTAATGATGTTGAATTTATCAAATAATTTGAATAAGTTTTTTAAAAAATCATCCTTAAAACTATTAGAACTCATTGCCATACTCTCTTTCTACCTAATTAAGAACTTTATTTTCATTAAGGGCACTTTTATATAAAAATAATAATTGATGCAAGAAACAATTTGAAATGAGTCTTATAAAAAAAATTATGACAAACTTTCTAAAAAAAAGTCTAATATTTAGAATCCGGGATAGTAATTTTATTTTATTTTTTCTTAAGAACAAGTATCTTATACGCAAGATAATTTTACTCAAGCGAGGAACATCTATGTCATGTTAAGGCGATCTCTTCCTGTGAGAAATACTTTTATTTATGGCACACCAGGTTCAAACTCGAAATCTTAGTTAATTTAAACTAAGTATATACAACTTAAACTGATCCCCATTGCTTGGTTGAAAGATACCCATAACATGCCAAGAAAACAAGCATGCAATTTGTCTAAGAAAAAAATAATTATTATAAAAAATTTATCTAAAAAACAACGATACCTTTCATTTAACACGTGTATCAAGACTTAAAATTTTTTAATTAAACTAATATTAAAAATATAAAAAAAAAAACATTTAAAAATTAAACAAAATATTAAGGGTAAGACAAGTGACATGACTATAAAGATGAAAATAAGTCATAAAAATATTTTAATTTAAAAATAAAGACTCATTTGTATTATAAAATTTTATCTATGATAGGAACCTCCACTTTGAATGAGCTGAATTCTTGTTTATGATGCATGTTCGGAAAAGCTTTAAGACCGTTATATATTTGAAAGGCATTATCTTGGGAAATAATGGTAAACGTAGGACTTTGTTATGGTAAAAGAATGAATGAATATGCTTGTTTATAGTAGGATTGCAGATTTCTCAATCTAGTTCATTTTTTTTGTGCCCTGTGCGAATATAGTGGTTAATATGGAGAGGGTTTCTTGTGACGCCACACAAGAAGTAGACATGGGGACATCCTTACCTTTCGTAATGGTTACATCGTCCCTAACTTAAAAATGAAACGTGACCTGATTGAGCCCCACGAGCATAAAGACCACAATGTCCATAAAATTGTTAACAGGGTAAGGCATAATTTTGTAATAGAAGGAGCTGATTTGTCAATTCGTGTCTCACAAAGTGTTCTAAATTTCACACGCGTAAGTATATAATGGACCCTTGGCTTTCAAGCCAAGAGAATTTGATGGTTACGTGCGCGGCATGCTAAGCAAAGCTTTAGATGTACTCAGTTAAGCCATTGCGGAAGCACTGCAATCAAAGGCATTCTGTTTTGGAAGCCAAGAAGTAGTAGTTTGTCATCTCTGTGCAGAATTTCTTACAAGTTACAGACAGCCCCGCCCCTTCCAGAAAAAGGGCCTCTTCGATTTTTCTCTTGGCCCTTTATGCTCCTCCTCTCTGGTAACTTCTTTTTCGCTTTGCCTGTATGGAAAGCTGTTTTTCTGCTTACTTTTTATGCTATACAAGAGAAGAAATCTTGCTGCCTAGTTTTTATAATTTGAACAAGTCATGATAAGATCGAAATTTTCAGTTAGCTACAATTTTGCAACATTATTTGGACTCTTCAGGGAATCAAATAAATAAATCGATTGTATTATCCAACTTAGATCGACTTAGGACCGATGAAATATGACTCAATTTATGGCACAGAAGTATCTAATGACTCGTTAAATTTTTCTTTGATAGTTGTATATATGCAGCATCGTCTTCAATATTTCAGACAAGCATTTTTACTAATAGTTTGAACTATAACACATCAAACAGTTACAAGTTCGAATATAATTGAAAGAAAGGGGAAGAAAAATGGCATCCCTCGTACCTGGAGTTCTACTGAAGCTTCTCCAAAGTATGAACTCCAACGTAAAAGTTCGTGGGGAATATCGCTCAGTCCTTCTGCAGGTGATCAGCATTGTGCCCGCATTATCTGGGTCTGAATTATGGCCTAACCAAGGTTTCTTCATAAAAGTTTCCGACTCTTCTCATTCAACCTATGTCTCACTCTCAAAGGAAGACAATGAACTTATCTTGAATAATAAGCTGCAGCTTGGGCAATTCTTTTATGTGGATAGAATCGAGGCTGGTACACCTGTCCCAATTCTTGTTGGGGTTAGACCAGTTCCTGGACGCCACCCTTTTGAAGGCAATCCTAAGGATTTAATGCAGATGTTAGAGCAATCAGAGCATCTCGATAATGATGCAGTTAATGGTTCAAAATCCATGGTTTTTTTAACAGAAGCCAAAGAGAATCCAAGTTCAAGGCAGAAGATTGTTATCAAAGAGGAAAAAATTGGTGTTGCATCAAGGTACATGCAGGGTGTTCTAAATCCAAACACAAGAGTGAACGGGTCAGATACTAATGTAGGAAGCAAAGGAATTGATTTAGAAAATGGTTTAGATAGTAAAAAATTGGGATCTACAAAAGGAAAGCAATTAGAGATTAAAGGTCAGGTATGATTCTTGCTCTGGATTCCAATTTCTGAAGACTTAACAATAGGAACCATAACGATCGGCGTCAAACAAAAATTGTAAAGAATTACGGTGAACTTATTAGATACAACCAGTTCGGCGTATCTTTGTTTTCATTTTATATCTACAAGTAAAAAAAATGTAATGCTGCATATTACACACAGGATATTCATCAGAAAAAAATATCTGTAGCGTCACCCATTGCTGTGTGGCAAACATGAAAATCGGGGCAGAGGATAATTTCATGATCATTCTGCCCTTCAGTTGAAAATGATTCAATTTCACAGCCGAAATCTAATAGAAACCATGTTACAATGGAATGTATAATATATTTTAAATCAAAGGAAACAATCAAGTTTTATGCTGATTTTATTGTTTGCTAAAAAAAGAATAATGTAGTGACATCGATTAGCTTTAGCATCACAGGTACTCCCAATGACTCCTACTCGTACTCGACTTGAAGCACTTTCACCAAAACAAGACGTTGCTCAATCTAACATCCAGGAGATTGTCGTAGCACCTTCCAAGCGCACTTCTACCAAACATAGTTCTACTAAACAGGAAAATTTGAACTTGAATTTTGTGTCTAGTGGTAAAGATAAAATTCAGAAAAGCAATAGCACTGAGGCAATTCCATGGTCCTCTTTGCCGGCCAAGCTTTTGAGGCCTGGAAAGGTGTATTATAATTCTCCCTCTCTCTCTCTATCTCCCACAAATATTATCACACATCCCTTATCAAACATATTTGTCTTCTTTGTTCAAGTAATATGCAGTCTGACTACTTGTGTTAGCATATTAACACGATTCTTTTCTTGGCAATCATATAATCCTAACTTTCCGCCTCTTGTCGACCTTATTTTCATTTTATAAGGGTATTCTTAGAAGGAAACATCTAGCATCTCAAGTTGTAGTAGAAGCTCAAAAGGAAGCATCTGCAGCAACAACGTTAGTTAAATGCCTAAGGTATATAAAGTTTTTATCTAAATTTTAGTATGCATTAGTTACTTGAATGATATATTCCTCAAGGGGAAGAAGAAGTGAATGCACTATTCCTTCTGTTTTTCTGACCCTCTAATTACCTCCTCTCTTTCCTTTTCAGTATGTTCGCCAATATCTGCTCTTCTGCATCATCAGAGAATCCTCATGCGACACTGAACAAGTTTTTTGCTCTCCAACAGCTCATGGACCAGCCAAACGGTACAACTCAGTTGAAGGATAACTCACTTCAAGTATATAAGATTCCATCTCCTGCAGAAAAACATAAATTGGGCAAAACGGCAGGTTTGAATCCTGCTAAAAGCACGTCAAAGAATGTAAAACCTTTAGCCGAACTATCAGGGAATGAGAAACAAGAATGGGCCAAAGGGGATGGTATGAAAGAGATCGATGATCTGAGGGATGTCTTTTTAAATGAAACAAGATCATGGTTTCTGATGTACTTGGAAAAGACACTTGATGCTGGGTTTTCCGTGGGGTCCCAAGAGAAGGGCAAGGAAAGTAAGGATATTGCAGGGAGACAAATGGAGCAAGCCAACCATATAGCTCTCACGCTGTCACACCTTAAGCATGCAAACGAGTGGCTGGACAAACTGAGAAGCAGTTCCAACGCGGAAAGCGAAGGGCTGGTGGAGATTGTTGACAGGTTGAAGCAAAAAGTATATTCTTGTTTACTTGTCCACGTTGATTCTGCCGCATTAGCTTTGGAGAACCGAGCTTGATTCTAGGTCAATAAACGGTTTCACAACAACATAACTCTAATGCTATTTATTTGTTAAATTATTAAATGTGGTTGAGCCAAACGTTTGCAATGGAGAGCTTGGACTGCTCTGTTTGTAGTGCAATGTGATATACAATGCTATTTGTACTCAAAAAATAAATAAAAAAGGGACTGACCTGAAGTTAAATTTCAATTCCTCTTGTATATAAAATAAAGCAAAGCCGTCTACGGCTCTTGTGGGGGTCGTTCAAACAGATCTAAATGTAGTGCTATTGACCAATTCAAAATGCTATAAGCGTAAAACAAAAGTTAGTTAAAAGAGAGAGGCATATGATAATTTAGTACTGTCTGAAGGTAAGATTAAGGCGACCAGGTCGTAGATTAGTTTGTTGGAGCAAGAGGTCGGGAGCAGTGTTTCGATGAATGGCGGTTACACCATGGAAAACATTTCTAGAGTGGCCACCAAAGATCAAAACATCTCCGGATTGCAGTACCACTTTTTGTGCCTTGTAGGCGTCCCTGTCATCACCGTACAAAAAGTCTGCGGAGTCTCCAACGGAGAAGGAGACGACAGGCAAGCCTAGACGAAGACTCTCTGCGCTTTCATCCTTGTCCTGATGAAGACCCAGACGGCCATTTTGTGAGTAAAAATTGACAACGCAAATGTCGGGGGAGATGGAGGGAAGTGGATTATTAGGAATGTGAGCATTGGCATCCCCGATTGCATTGTGAACCAAGTTATGGAACTCAGGAGGAATGTGGGGTGGCTTTGCTCCGTCAAATGGGCGTTGTTCTCCGTATTGGGTGGTGAGAGGATCCCAGTTCTTGCCCAGACACATCATCTTCAAATGCAGTTGTGTCCCTTCCCCGTAACCAGGCTGGTAGAATCCTCCGCCACCCACCCCCATCTCTCTGCATTTTTCCACTATCTTCACCTGCTCGCTCAGTGTCAGGTAACTCTTCAGAAGGACCATCCCTGGCCTTAACGATAATACCTTATCAACATTCCCTCTCATTTGGTTCCTTATTTCTCTGTTCTTCACCAGCAAAGAAGGTTTCAGAACAACGCTTCCAGGCTGTTTAGGGGGACATATATCGAAAGGTGAGTTATCATCGCCGGTATTTAACTTTCCCATTCCCCTTACGGCAGAATCTGGTGACGCATTATGCTGCTCCTTTTTCTTTCCTTCCTTATTGCCTCCTACAACCTACACACCACCGTTCACGATATCAGCACAAAATATAAACCCTAACCTAACAATTCCATGAACAGATAAATATAGTAAATTGGAATTACCGCTGAAGGTGATGGTGGAGTGAATGGAGAGCAACGCCCGCGATCTCCAGGTTCCATTGCATCTGATTCAATCCAATCCCAAATGACTACTTATTTATCGATTTCCCACCAGCTTTTTCGTCACGTCTGTTCACTGCCCTCACCCAGGTTCCACTGTTCCAGTTTCCAGGTTCCTTTACTCTTCTCCGCTTTTATTCATATTATTTGAAAACACCCACTTTTCACAAGAAATTAAATTTAACATATCACTCTTTAATTTTGTCATAGTCAAATTTAAGATATGTTTTTAAAATTTTTTAACTTAAGAAGAGTCGTAGATCTTGTGTTATCAATATTGTGAGCAATATTCATATCATTAAAATCCCTACAACAAAGTGATAATGAATAATTGAAAATGTGGGTAAGATAAACAATAAAGAATTAGCAATAATTAACTTAACATGGATATTTTAAATAATTTTAATATCTGAATGAATCTATAAAATGAGTAACTTCTGGTATGTCAATATTGATATAAATCTTTGTTAATCTTGACATGTAAATAGAAATATTACTTATAATACATACATTCATATTTTTATAATTAAATATGAAACATATATATATAATTTATCTAAATAAAATATTTTTAAAATATAATAATATAATTACCTTGAAATTATTTTACAATAGTAGATGTGAATATTGCAATAAAATTTCTTCAAACAGTATAATATAATCATCTCACAATGTTACTTTCACTATATTTTTTTTGCAAATGATTTATTCAAAATTATAATATTTTTTAATTAATAATAACTTTAAAATAATTATTTATATCTCATGTCTTGTAATTGAAGTGTCATAACATTAACTTTGCCTTGAGTAGTTGTTTTTTCTTCATTAGAACTTTTGTGCATGACCACTCCAGTCATATCTATTCATAAAATAAATAATTTTAAGAAACTAATTGATAAATTAAATATAAATTATATAACAAATTTTAGTAAAGTTTTATCGCAAAATACCTATTAAGTAATTATTTTTACAATGACTTTTTAGATCTTCAAAGTTCACAAACTCAAAATATATGGAAAGAAATTATGTTATCATTATTTAATTCTTTAATAATAGTTGTGGTATAGAATTGCAACATGAAATGAATGTTTTTAACCACAACAAATCTATCTTTATTCTTCGTCAGTAAAAAAATTGTTATGAAGTATATTTTTTCTTTCTTTAACATACTTTTGAATTTGTAAGAAATACCCCATTCTATAGAAGTATGTAGGTAATTGTTTTATAAAAAAGAAAAATTAGTCAAGTAAAAAATTTAAAAATAAATTAAGTTAGTTATCATAGAATATATAAAAGATAACATAATTATAATTTATTAAAAATAATAATTTTTTAATAAAAAAAATTCAAATCTAATATCTTTTCATCAATTAGTATCATATTAGTACTAATTAATTTTTTCTTACGATATATATTTAGTGTATCCCTCAGTTGTGATATTCACACTTTTATTTTTCAATCATCTGATATTGAATTTAAATCTTTAAGAAAAGTTTATTTCTCTTCGTTGAAACTTGTTGTTCTCCTACAAAAGCATGAAGAACATAAAAGTAAATAATTACTTGTGATGAATATAAGAGAATAATAATAGATTTGATACAAATTAATCAGTTAAAAATAAAATTCAATACATAATTTCATTTTAAAATAATAAAGCTTTATGCTTATTCAAAAAATTAAATTAAAATATATAACACAATTTAGTGAAACAATAAAAAATATCAAAATCGAAAACACATATACTTACGTAGATAAGTAATTCTTGACTGTTGACATAATTGTAAAATACAAAGAAGAAAGATGACAATAGAAATAACAATGAGCAAGTTTTTAAAAGTTTTATAAACATGACTTATATAAATAGAGATAAAGTCTTACTTGAAGATACATGAAAAATTAAAAAATAAAAAATTAATATAATAAAAGTTATCTTTTCATCTGCATTATAGTTTACTTATTTTTTTGTTAAAAATTTGATTTAATAATATATAATATAAAATAATAATTAACATTCAAATGTTAAATAGAAGTTAAAAATAAAAAATATTTTTATTTTTAATTAAAAGATAACTCAAAAGCTTCATCAAATTTTCTCAAAAGTATTTTTATACAATTTAATTCATATTTATTTCCTATTTCTAATATTTGACATAGAAAATCTTAAAACTATTTTATTTATAATAAATTTTAATAATTTTTTTATTAAATATTATTTATAATAGTTTTGTTATTGTCATTTTTAATAATATATATTTATCAATTCTAATAAATTTTTTCTAAATATAATTTAAAGGTAATAAGTATGAATTAATTATGATAATAATTTTTAAATTGTGTAATTTATTATAATTAATTTCAATAATTTTTTATTTAATATAATTTAAAATTATCTTATATATAGTATTTTTGTATATAAACTTATTTTTTATTAAAAATATAATTTAACAATATATAATATAAATTAACAATTTTGTAAGTGTAATTTTTCTACTTCAAAGTAAATTTTAGTTTTTAAAATATATATTTAACTATATATTATGTTAAACTAATTAATAAAATAATTTGAATATATAAACTTGTATTTTCATTAAAAACTTAATTTAACAATACATAATATAAACTAATAATTTTATAAATATAATTTTTTATTCAAATTACATATTTATATTATATATAAATATTAAAAATAAATTATATTAAATGAATTAATAAAATAATTTAAATATGTAAATTTATCTTTTCATTAGAAATTTAATTTAATAATATATAATATAAACTAATAATTTTATAAATGTAGTTTTTTAATTTAAATTATATTTTAATATTTAAAGTAAATATTAAAATATAAATTATATTAAAATAATTAATAAAATAATTTAAATATATAAATATTTGTTTATTATAAATTTAATTTAATAATATATAATGTAAAATAATAATGTTATAAGTGTAATTTTTTAATTCAATGTATATTTTAGTGTTTAAAATATATATTAAATTATAAATTATATTAAACTAATTAACATAATAATTTAAATATGTAAACTTGTCTTCTCATTAGGAATTTAATTTAATAATATACAATATAAATTAATAATTTTAAAATCATAATTTTTTAATTTAAATTATATTTTAGTATTTGAAGTAAATATTAAAATATAAATTATATTAAATTAATTAAATAAATAATTTAAACCAATACCATTTAAATTTAAATATAACTTAAAGTAAAAATACAATTTTATTTTTAATTAAAAGATAACTAAAAAATGTACAAATATTTTTATTCTAACTTTTTGATATAATATTACTATCAATTGTAATAATTTTTTTTAAATATAGTTCATAATAAATATGATTAGATATAATTTTAATTTGTAAATTATAAAAAAAATATTATAATTAATTTTAATAAATAGTAATTTAAAGTAATTTATAGTATGAATATTTACATTGTTGTTTGTAACATAATATAATTATCAATTCTAATAAACATTATTTAAATACAACTCAAAGATAATAAGGATAAATAAAATATAATTTAAATTTGTAAGTTATACATTTCAAATTTTAATGCATAAAGTAACAAGTAAGTACAATTAATAAGAGTGACTTTTTAGGTTCAGAATTTTAATGTGATAAAATATAATTTTAGTTAGTAGTTATACACTTTAAATTTTAATACATAAAGTAATAAGTAAATGCGGTCAATAAGAGTGACTGTATAGGTTCTAAATTTTAATGCATAGAGTAATAAGTAGGTGGAATTACGTATATAAAAATGACTTTATATATTTTAAAATTTAATTCATAGAGTAATAAGTAAGTGCAATCAATAAAAATGACTTTATATGTTTTGAATTTTAAAACATAGAGTAATAAATAAGTGGAGTCAGATATATAAAAATAATTTGAAATGTTTTAAAATTTAATGCATAAAGTAATAAGTAGGTGCAGTCAATTTATATAGATTGTTGTTGTTGACCAAAATAAATAGTTAATTATAAATTATTTTTTAAAAATTTTATTTGTTAATTAGAGTTTAATAATATATTTTAGAAATTAAATTCTAAAAAACAAAAGAATCAACCGTTTTCTTATATTTTATTTTGCATTTAAACTGGGTCGAATACATGGACAACATAAGTTAGTTAAAATCCTGAAAAAAAATGGTTTTTATGTTTCAACAGAAGCGATTAAGAGCATGTTTAACGTTGCAATTAGTAAAGATGAGTTAATCGGCCCTACATTTTTTGGTTAATTTGGAGAGTTGCGTGCATCTACACGTGGCAACTGTTATTTTAAATCTACTAGTGAAGCAACCTGTTGAAGTATGTCATTTCCATTTTGGTTTAAGTTAAAGTTTGTCTTATGCTAACTGAATGGAATCGTGTAAAATGGTGAAAACGTACATTTACTTTAATGAATGCTATTAGAAACAGCTTTTGCATCAACGTAAGGGTTTGGCGTATAATCAAACATTTATTAAGTGTGTTTGTACGTATGTTTTTAAATTTTAGTTTAAATTAATTTTATTTTATAGATTTTTTATTTATAAGTAAGTTTAAAATTGATTTATGTTTAAAGATTTTTCTTTTAAAAATAAATTCATACCAAAATTTAACAAAAAATTTTCAACTCAATACAAAAAAACATAATTGGACATATTTATTTAAACAAATTTAAAGTCAAAATTAATTTTGATTTAGAATCACTAAACAATGAGACACTTTAGTCAAAGTATGAATATGCTTAACATGATTACCAAGATGTAAATGTGATACTAAACATGAACAGTTGTAATATTTTCCCTGTGACACAATAGGATATATTTAATTTATGCTTAAGATTTAGAGAAGCATAATTAAATAAAAAAAATTAAATGATTAAAATATTAATTTCGTCTAAACAAATTTAAAAGAGTATTTGTTTTAAAGGAACCAAATAATGAGTGAAAATTAAGAGCAGTAATAGCTAAAAAATAATTGAGATTTCGAGGAGAAGCAAATAAAATAACAACGAGCAGTGTTGGTAATTACATTCTAAATGAAATCAAGGAACAGTTGGGGCAGAAAACAGGAAGAGTACCTACTCAAATTAAGAGGCTGCTTGATTTAAAGATTTTCTTTTAATTATTAAATTGACACTTCTTGTTTTAAGATTTGTTAAAGAAAACATTGAAAACAGACAAATTTTATTTTATGTTTAAAAATAAAATAATATCTTTTTTAAAACCAAACAGTCCATAATTTAGCCATAATAGATTTTCTACACAACCATATTATTTGGTTTCTCACACATTGCTAAAATGAGAAAAAAAAATTACATATATATGAAAGATATTGTCAAACTAAGAATAATGAGGGTTACACTAAAGTCAACGGTGCTACATTCCATTAGTCATTAGAAACCATCCAGAATCGTGAGACAATGTTGGTATTATTATATTTTTGTGTGGAAAAAAGATAAATATCCATTATTTTTTTCTGATTCATTATCAATAAATAATTTTTAACATTGTTGACATAATAAAAAGGCTGATCTCACTCTTTTGACGATTAATAGCAAACGATTCGATGAAATCATTATATAAATGAATAAAGCATTAAATTAAACTTATTAATAAAATAGCATCATCATATTAAATGTATACAATTAAAAAATCAAGAAATGAAAATACTTCATAGTTATTTTCTTTAACATTACATAAGGAATGTGCAAATGTCAACGAAGTCATAGATCCTTGCTGGTGCAAACTGCAACGTGCTCGTGATGCAAATTAAGAAGCAAAATTAAGACTATTATGCATTCTTAAACTTCTCTGTCCTTAATACGCCACAAAGCCGTCGTCGATATTATCATCCGTACAAAAATGATAGTCAATCTCGTAGATGTTTCTTTTAAAGTGAAGAGCTGTTTTTTTTCCAAAAATAAAGTATACTGATAAATTATTAACTGTATAACAAATTATAAAATTATTTCAAATTATATATATATATATATATATATCTTAGGTGCAAAGTAGATCTTTTGAGAGAGAGTTCAGGAGCTTAGTTAAAACCATAGTTTTAAAGACACGATTAATCCGATTAGTTAGACTAATTGGACCAAAAATTGAGATAGACAACTCAAAAAATAAAATTATTAGAATAAAAATTAATTAAAAATCAATTTTTACGAAACTATCATTTTTCCTTTATATTTTTGAATTTTATAATATTTTTACAATAAATAAAAACCCACATATAAGAAAAATATGTGAATTGTTATTATTTAATAATTTATTTTAATTTTTAAATCTTGTAAAATATGTAATATTTTCATTTGTAAATTTCTTTTCCTTAATTTTTTAAAAAAATTATATTAATTTTTATTTAATATATTATTTAATATGAAAAAAATATATATTTAATCAACACTAATTAATATCTTCACCAGTTTAATTACTAATTCAAAATTAAAAATACTGGTGAACACTTGCAGCTTTTATACAGCCAATAATTGTAAAGGTAAAATATCAGAGTCTTCTCACAAAAAAGTAACTAAAACTCGTACATCCAGGAAGAATTCTTAAAATTTATATAAACGTTTTATTTTTAAGTATTTGAGAAACAGTATAATATTATAGAGGTAATTTATAGCTTGAAAAAAACACTAATATTTTTTTACAAAAGATAACCTTGTTCTAATCTTAGCAAGTGATAATTTTTTAAAGTATTTAATATAATTTTATATCTAAACAATTACGAATATTTGATCTATATATGTAATAATTTATAGTTTTAATAGTTATTTAAAAAACGTGTTTGAATTACGTCATTTTTTTTTATTTTAAAAGTTTATGTTTCCTCTTTTAAGAATTTGAAAACATGCTTTACTCTAATTTATTCTAATATAAATAAAATTTTCACTAATCAGGGATAATTTGCCACCCTCTAACATAATGATACTTGTTATGAAAATTTTTTATTTTCTAAATTTTAAAATATTTCATCTATTTTTTTAATTCTTTTTTAAACTACAATCATATGAAATTACCATCGTAAAAAATATCATAATTAAAAGTTATCATTATAAAAAATTACAGAGTCATCCCATAGTGTTATTCCATGTCATGAGTAGTAAGCATAGCTTGTTATCCAATGGTAGAATCGTGTATTTGTTGGATCTCATTTTAATCTCATGCAAAAGTGAACCATAGCATTCAAGAATAATTTCTATGACTGTCAATTTCTCTCTTGAGTCAAAACACATTATTGTGATCTACGAAAAGATTAAGGGGAGGTTGAGGATGCGAAAGATTAATAAGCCTTACAAGAATCTTTACACTTTCAAACATATCTTATAGACTTTGTAGTTCAATGACCTTGTACATTTTAACCAATTCAATTAATCTCTTACTATTATTATAAAACTGTTCCAAAATTTTGGTCCAGTGAACCTAACCAAGAATAATTGTCTTCCTTTGCTCCACTTACCAGACCAGAGTAAGTAACAAAGGTGTTGTTCAAGAAAGGTGTCTCCAATTCATTTGTTCAAGGTAAACGTGAGGAGAAATGGAATTCGCCAGGACGTGACAATTTTGCTTTTGGTAATGATACTTTCTGGAAGATGGTAGGTTGTAACAATATTATGTAAAGGCATGATAAAAAAAATAGAAGATGAAAGGTTTTAACCACATGTAAGACTAAAATAAAAATATTATATATAATATTATTTTTACTGTACAATTAATCATACATCTTATCTTGATATTATGTCACCATTTTTTAATAATAAATAATTTTTAAAACTAAAATAATAGATGAAAAATAATCTCAAAAAATATTAAAATATCAGAAAATGAAATATTCGATCCTAATAATGTCATAAATTAATTTAAATATTTACTAAAATATTTATTAAATAAAAATATCAACAAACACTTCTCTTGAAAGCCGTCACTTTTGGACAATCGTGCACGAGTGTGATTGAAGGCTTCTGTTCTTGGCTCACCTTTATGACTTCTTACCTCGTGCTTACAGTGTTGACTAAGGGCTAACAACCATAACCGGATAACCAGTCAAGCTTCTTGTTTATTAAAATAAAAGTAGCCACTTTTTTAAAGATATTTATCATTTTAAAACTTGAAAACTAGATGTTTTAGAATTTTCTATACGTGTCAAATAATATTTTCTAAAAAATAACACGTATTATTTTTAAAATAAATTCTAATGTGCTTTTAGAATATATAATTATTATAGTCTGTAAAAAGAATTGACTATTATTTATAAATTTTATTAGTTTTAATATTTAAACATAAATTTTCATTAAAAATATATTATTTTATTAAATATATAAAAATATAATAAATATTTTGAAAAACATTATTCATAACTACTTAAACTTAGCTATACAAAAAACAGATACTAACTCTAACACTTTTCTTTATTTATAAGTAGTTGAATTTTTCCCATCCTGTGGGGGCATTCAAGCCACGGCATAGAGCATGCGCCAACCAGCGCAAGCGACTATGGAAGTAAAAGCACTTTTCTTTATTACTTTTGTCTATATCTTTAATCGTTGATTTACGAAACCATCGGCCAAATAATGCGTTATAAATATTTGTTATGGTTAGAAATGAAAAGTGACATTCATAGGACTTTAATACCACGGCTTTTGTCTAGACAATGTAACTCTAATATATATGGAAGACATAATCTACATCAATCTGAAAAAACAAAAAGGAGAAGACACAATATACATTAGTGACGCAGCATAACCCATATAATTGAATCAATAAATCCTACACTTTCCATTTGATCATCCGTCGTTGAAAATATAAATAAACCGACCAATTGTTTTCATAACACATAAGGACTTAAAAAAGTCAACTTGAGGCCTTAAGAGGGTGGCGCGGTTTAAAAATAAAATAGTACAATTATTGATGATAAAACAAAGTGTAAAAATGAATGGAGGTATCAAGATCTGACTTGGGTGCCTATAAAAGCCAATGCAAAATACAACTTGAACATCCCCACCAAACAAGCTATCTCCGTTTATTGAAAAAAGAGGAGTGAGAGTGGGAGTGGTGAAGATGTCTGGAGAAGCAGATCGGACGAGCATAGAGGAGGAGATGGACACGGGAAAGGAGACTGTGGAGAAGAACCTGAAGCTGAAAGAGCGAAAGGTATCATGGGCAAAACTACGCCGCGTAGATTCTCTCAATTTAGAAGCTGGAAGAGTTTCTATGACTGCACACCACCCCACCAAGGTTCATATGACATACCATTCAGTAATCTATAAATGACTTGTTACCCATTGGCACTTGTATTCTATATTTGCCAATAAAGTTTGATCTATTCATTTTGGATTCATTGTAACAGATGGGTTGGAGGATGACACTGAGCTTAGCATTTCAAAGCATAGGGATTGTATACGGTGATATTGGTACTTCTCCACTTTACGTATACGCCAGCACCTTCCCCAATAAAATTAAAAACAACGATGACATCCTAGGCGTCCTGTCCCTTATCATCTACACCATTGTGCTCATACCCATGCTTAAATATGTGTTCATCGTATTATGGGCCAACGACAATGGCAACGGTACGTTCTAAAGGTTATCAAACTTGGTTTGTTTTTTACAAACGTTAACTAATGTTTTTAGAATTCTAGTTAAGAAATTTAAAATATTTTTTATTAAAAATATAATAAACACATTTTTTTAATGATTTTCAATATAATTTAACTTTATTATTAGTGTAAAAATTTTATTTTAAATCGGTATTGATCGGCAAAATCATATTGTTTTTTTGAACTCCGGCTAGCCAGGTCTGCAGTATATAATTTTGTTTTCAGCGGTACAAAGGAACGAGAGTGGCTTTGATTTTGGTGTCAATTTGTCCTTAAATAAACCTTGATCTGTTCTTGATTTTATCAAATACATTAATTTATTGTCGTAATGTTGTTATTGTCCACTCTCTGTTATATATTTTAGCAATTTCTTTATTGTTAATTTACAAAATTATTGAACAACTACAGATATTTTTAAAATATTTATTTATTAAAGGATAATAAAAATAAGTAATAATTTCTATAATAGATAAAAAGTGTAATAGGAAGTTTAGTAATATTCTCTCTATGTTTTTTCTTTGATATTTTATTATTTTGTTCAATTATTATTATTATTATTATAAAAAAAATACCGTCCTTATTTTTTAAGATTGAATTTAAACAATTATTAACGATAATATTTTAGTAAAATAATCACTTATTACATTTTTATAATTTTAATATAATGAATATTTTTTAAAAAAAATTCCATGTTTTTGAATGCTTAAACTCATAGATTTTATTTTTTTAAAATACTTATGAACTTCTCACTACAGAATTATAATTCACTTCGATCACTACTATTTGTGTAGTAATTTTTATTTATAGAAAAAAAAAAAAACGAACTGATTGGCATAAAGAATGCCCATTCTTGGACTTCAAATTAAGATTTTATAATATTGATCGAATAAAACAGAATTTTTACGAATTAAATTAATTAATAATCTTTCAAGGACAAAATATAAAAAAGAGAGTCAAAGTTGAAAGTTTATATTGATGACTTAAACAAGCCTAACTTGGCAAATTTTTTTATGGTCAACGTTAATAATTGATGCTCCATTGAACAGGGTCAATATCAGCTTCAGAATGCCATCCCTTTCTGCTATATTTTATATTTTCATAAACTTTTAAAAAATAAGTGATTTTTTTTTTTCAAATATTCATTATCAGACATGCTTGTTTTATAAATTTTTTATTATTTAAAATAATTACTACTATTAATAATAACAAGTTATTGCATATATAGGTGGAGCATTTGCACTCTATTCGTTGATATGTAGGCATATAAAGGTGAGTTTGATTCCAAATCAACAACCAGAGGACAGGGAACTGTCAAACTACAAACTGGAAACCCCCTCTAGCCAGCTGAAAAGAGCCCATAAACTGAAAGACAAACTTGAGGGTAGTCATTTTGCGCGTATTTTGCTTTTACTTCTCGCTATAATGGGAACTTCCATGGTCATTGGGGATGGGATTCTTACTCCCTCAATTTCAGGTTAGTTATTTTCCACTTTCTTTTCATGTTTATTTATTCTAAGCTAACACTTTAAAAACTTATTTTTTACTGTCAAACAAAAATTATTAAGCGATAGATTTGTCTTTGTTTGTATATTTTTTCTTTAATAAAAATTATATTATTGATATAAAATTTAAAGATATATTCTTAAAATGAGATTCATTATATTAATATTTGTATTTTTGCAAAAGTGACAATTTCAATTAACGTTAAAAAATTATCATTTATTAGCAAATAAATTCTGTTAAGTATTATAATTATCTGTACTGGTACGATTGTTGTTTAATAAAAATTAAATTATTAATATAGAATTTAAAAATCGATACTAAAAATCTGATGCATTATATTAATATATGATGTATTGATAAAATATTTGTATATTAGTACAAACTTCTATTATTTATATTAACCTTTTAATTTTTATTAGAGAAACTTTATACTAATTAATAGAAACTAATTTAATACTAAATCTTTATAAAGTAATTAATTTTGTGTATGAATCTCCTTTTCTATTTACGCTATTTGTTTCGAATTTTTCACATCAATTGAAATGATTTCAGTTTCTAGGTAAAGAGACATGGGCAACAATTTGACACTAGAAAAAAAAAATCGTCCGAAATAATTTAAAGAAAAAAAATGAAGCAAAGCAAAAAAATTTCGGGAATATTAAGCATATGCCATGTGAATTTGAAAGGTGGCTTTACATTATTGTATTGTTCAATGTATATGCAGTCCTTTCTGCGGTAAGTGGGATCAGCACATCACTCCGTCAAGGTACGTAAATGAATGTCTTTTAAGGTTCTTTCCCCTCCTTTAATGGCATCGCAAGAGAGATGGAAATTTGTTATAATATTATGTATCGACATAGGTCACTTCTAATGTGTGCGCGCGTTTTTTGTTTTCAGAAGCTATTGTGGGGATCACTATAGCAATCTTAATCTTTCTCTTTTCTGTGCAACGATTCGGCACTGACAAAGTGGGATTCACTTTCGCACCAATCATTTTTACGTGGTTTGCATTTATCGCTGGCATTGGTATCTACAATATATTCAAATATGACATAGGAGTATTACGTGCTTTTAATCCAAAATACATATATGATTACTTCAAACGAAATGGTAAGCAAGGATGGTTATCGCTTGGTGGAGTCTTTTTATGCATAACAGGTGACTATAATCTATCTATTCTTAATCATCTTAATTAATTTGTGTCAATCTTCAAATAGTAATTAACTAAGATGCGTATAAAATCTTAGGATCTGAGGCCATGTTTGCTGACTTGGGTCACTTCAATGTACGAGCCATTCAGGTAAATAAATATGATTTTATCCTAGTAAAACGCAGAATATCTACATTTTAAGGCGACCTCATCATCGCGTTACCGATAGAAATTGATTCGAACTGCCAATTGATTGTTTAGTTTCACTTAACTTCATGATCATCGTACATTATTATCTGTTGCAGATTAGCTTCACTTGCATTACAGGTCCTTCAATATTGGCTGCATATTGCGGGCAAGCAGCATTTCTACGAAAGTTCCCCGAGAAAGTGGCTAATACTTTTTATGAAAGCATACCGGGTAAGTTGGTTAGTTTTAAAGAACGATGGTGAACGTGGAAGTTCATTTGATTACCATAATTAGTAAAGTTCAATTAATGAATTGGTGTTTCTTTTTCCCCTGTATTAATTGTGATAAATTAATGCAGACCCCTTATATTGGCCAACATTTGTTGTGGCTGTTGCTGCTGCCATTATAGCCAGCCAGGCAATGATTTCAGGAGCGTTTTCCATTATATCCCAGGCCCTAAGTTTGGGTTGTTTCCCAAGAGTCAAGGTTGTGCATACTTCCACTAAGCACCAGGGTCAGGTGTATATTCCTGAGGTCAACTACATGTTCATGATCGCATGTATTTTGGTCTGTGCTGCCTTCAAGACCACAGAGAAGATGAGTCACGCATATGGTAATAATTATGCGAATAAATCCTTAACTTTTCTTTCGAAGGAATATAGTATATGTATGGTGCAACATAAATTTAACTTTCTAAGCTTTTATGTAGTAGTGTTAGCAAAGCATGACAAGTGGTATGTTTGATGCATGCAGGGATAGCAGTTGTTGGGGATATGATGATCACAACAAATCTGGTTTCGCTTATAATGCTTGTTATATGGAAAAAGAACATATGGCGAGTGGCTCTATTCTATATGGTGTTCGGTTTCACGGAGTTTATTTATTTCTCATCTCAACTAACCAAGTTCACAGGAGGAGGGTATTTTCCAATTGTAACAGCTATATTCTTGACGACAGTGATGGGAATCTGGCATTACGTGCACAAAGAAAGATACATGTTTGAACTGAAAAACAAGGTGTCTAATGAGTATTTGAGTGAACTCGCCAACAACACAGACGTAAGGAGAGTGCCCGGAATAGGACTTCTGTATTCTGAGCTAGTACAAGGAATTCCTCCAATATTCCCACACTTAATAGCCAGCGTACCATCTATCCATTCAGTTGTTGTGTTTGTGTCCATCAAGGCAATTCCAGTTAGTAGAGTTGCATCAGAGGAGAGGTTTTTGTTTCGGCAGGTGAAACCAAGGGAGTACAGAATTTTTCGCTGTGTTGTGAGGCACGGTTACAACGATGTGCTCGAGGATCCTGTTGACTTTGAGTCACAGTTAATACAAAACCTGAAGGCATTCATTCAACAGGAAAGCTTTATGCTGGAGGTGGAGGGAACGGCTAATGAACAAGTAGCGGTAGCAGCTGCTGTACCAGCTGTGACTACTTCTGGCAATGAGAGTGAGATGACACTGCAGACAGATCAAGGTTCAGCTAAAGAAGGAAAGGGTAGGTCCACTACTACCAGTAATAATCCTTCCTCCAGAATAATTCCAAACCAGGCTGTGTCTCAAGCCTCATCAGACTCCATCCGATCATTGGGTGTGAGTGCCACCAAGTCATCCACTTTCTCTTCCCCGCCCATCCAGGGAACTGAAGAGGAAATCAAATTCATAGACAAAGCATTGGAGAAAGGTGTGGTGTATATGCTTGCTGAAGCAGAGGTGGTAGCTCACCCAAATTCCTCCATTTTGAATAAGATAGTTGTCAACTATGCTTATAACTTCTTGAGAAAGAACTTCAGACAAGGGCAGAATTTGTTGTCAATCCCACGCAACAGACTTCTCAAGGTTGGAATGACATATGAAATATGACACTAGGTGCAATCAAAATGATATCACGCACTCTCTTTTTTTACTACACGGCTCAAGCCTTCTTAGTGTTATATGAATTTTCCATAGCGTCAATAACAAAAAGCTGTACTATATGATAAATACGTACTTTGCTTGAATTTTGTAACTTCGCCAGATCATGTAAGTTTTTAATCATGGCGAAATTTTAAATGGAAATCTTGTGATCACATGTTGTCAGTATGGTCTGGTACAAAGGTTTTTGGAGTAACACTAACAATATCAGCGGGGAGCGATGCTAACGTGACAAAATAATTTAGCAGAGTTAATTACAAAAAGAGGACAGCTGAAGATCCGAAAGGGATTAGGGAAGGGAACTTATAACGATATGAAGTGAATTAGGTTGTAAGAATTGTAGAAAGTTATAACGATATGAGAATGAAGACATTTACAGGTAAACATAATGATACCTAGCCTATCTAACAATTAATACAACATACTATAAAAGAAAAATAACTAAGACCAATTAAACGTAATTATTTTGTTATCAAATAAAACTCTCCCGCCTTTATTCTCCTTCTTTACTGTACTTGTATTAGCTTTCAGTCTCTATAGTTGGATTACATTTTTTTATTCGTAATAATACAAATATAGAAGAGCATTACAATATCTGAGTCTTTAAGTATTGGTTGTTTAATTTGGTTCTGCAGAAAATTATAATCAAATTGCTACAGTTGCCACTTTTTGATATTTTTCAATTACATTTAGATATAAGTAATCATGTACTTGGGATGTGTTTACCATTAGTATGTATACATTATAAAAGTTCAAAATGCATGTGATGTCATACCCCATACAAGAGAGTTTTTACATTAGAAAATAAAACCTTTCATATATTAATTATTGGCTTTCATTAAGAAAAACGATATATTTTTAGATATAATAATTGTTAAATTTTCTATATCTTTGTCTATTACAAGATTTGTGTTAATGATATATTCAAATTTTTTAAAAATACAAATAAATACATTTATTTATTTAATATATAAAACACGAATTTAACCATTTAATATTCAACATTTTTTAAATTAAAGTATAAATTTATAATATATATATATATATATATATATATATAACACTGCTTTTTATTAATTTTAATGAATTAACTATTATGGTTTATGAATAGAATTAGCAATATTTATTTAATTCAGCCGCACTTGTTTTTTACATGAGAAAAGTAGATAAGCAAAATATTCAAACTTCTGAAAAAAATTAACGTGTTTTTCGTGTATTTTATATAGAAACAAATTTAAAATAACACACACACACACACACACATATATATATATATATATATATATATATATATATATATATATATATATATATATATATATATATAAAAGATTGTCAGAATGCAACATGACAACAAAGTATTAGTTAATCTAATAAAACTGATTATTAATTCCCAATCATATTACAAGGAGAGCATAGGAGAAATTAGCAGATAAAAAAGTGGTTAAAAATAGGATGAGTAGTGTTCAGAAAGTCTAGCTTTGGTGTGCATATCAGTTATGTTTTTTCGATTAAGTATAACATGAGTTAATCTGCATCTGCAGAAACAACCATGAAAAAAAAAGGGAAGCGCCGTTAAAAAAAACAGGGAGATACTGCTGATCTGAACACTCAATACGCGGCGCAAGATCACAGATAAACTCCATTTTTTTTTAAAAAAAAGAGCTCCATCTGGCGCCCCCTCCATAATGGTTTGTATATCCTTAAATCCTTGTTTGAATCTGAGGCAAAATAAATGGTAAGTTTGCAAATTTATAATCTTATGAAGGCTTACAATAACAGAACACAAGGAGTGTTTGTTGAAGCTTACCGGACATGCAAAGAAAGGGGTGGTGTTACAAATTGAAGCAGATTTAAATCTCCAAAACAATATCTGAAGGAAGAAAAATGAGGTGGTTAGTGAGTGACAGTGTGTATAAGATGGGGATGGCAAATAAAAGTGAATATGAACTTACATTCAGAATCAGTCTTGACCCATTTACAGCCATCGTCAGTCTCAGGTCTCTCCTCTGCTTCATCCTCCTTCTGCATCTTCCTGTCCTCGAGGCGCTTCTTGAGGGACAACGCTCGAGAAGAATGTTTATGTTGGGAGTATATTTTCTTGTGTAGAATTGTCCTTAAAAGCTTTATACATCATAACAATTCACAGTTGGTATTGCTATAGTCAAAATTAAACAGAACAAAGATAAAAGGGCCAACTAGTACCTACCTTCTCCATTCTTGACTCTTGTAGCTGGAGAGTATCTCTAAGGCTGGGTGATGGAGTAAATCCACTTCTACATACGAACATCTTCTTCAGCAAAAATGAAATTGATTTCTTCCCAATTGCTTTCTTGCTATTATCCGCACAAATCTCTTTGAATTTACTAAGTATGACGCTAAGCGTCTTTTCAATATCTTCGTCTTCTTCTTTCTCTTCTGAATCAGTGCAAAGTGCATCACTGATTCTCCTATCAACCTCCAAGCTCGATGGGCAATTGAGAAATCTGTCCAGAGGAAGTTCAGCAATTTCCTTTTCCACATTGGGTTTTTGTCTCAAGAGTTTAGTCAACTCTTTTTGTAGTTTTCCGATTTCTTCAGGGGTGAAGTCTGCTATTTCCTCAGACGAGGATGGATCCTCTTTACTAATATGCTTCTCTGCCTTTTCTTTTATTTCTTTGTTATTTCCAAACGTTCCAATTGCTAGTAAACCCTGAGGCCAATCGCTGAATTCTTCTCGACCCTCTTGTTTTGCACCATCTGTTCAGTTCCACACAACCAAAGCACATCATTATGTTTTTTTGATGCATATCTGAATTATTAATTATAGCTTGCAACTTGTCAGGGAAGAGTCAGTTTCTTTACCAAATAACATTCCTCAGGACGTAATAATTTTATATACTAATTTTAAAAAATTGTTTTAAAAAATTTTATTCGCTTTTCTTTTGTTCATATTAACAGCTTATTTTGGTAATAATTTTAAGCCTGTTACGTTCAATTTTATTTGTATTGTGTCAATATTAATTCCATCTAAACAATTAGGACATAATACTGTGCATGAATTTCAAGAAAAAACATCAAATAAATGCATATTCAAATACTATAAGACATTATTTAATGAGTGTAAACTAAGAATTGAAATATATTAATCTATAGTTTTTTAAATCTGAATATGCAATTCCATATAGATTATTAAACTATAGATTAATATATACAATTTGAATATGCATATACACTTTTAATAATTCTCTCTAAGATTTTTTTAAATCTGTCTCTTTGTACTAAAAAATTAAACTCTTAAAATACTCTCAAAACTTGTTTTTAAGAAAGAGCTTTCAAATCAATTTGTGGAACATAAGCATCAATAATATTAATAATATATTATGTAATTAATAACTTTAAATACATGATTCTATCTCCGATCATTTTAATTTTCACTATAAATTTTTAAAGTATTATCCACAAATAAATAATTTTAAATTTTTTTTATTGAAATAAAAAGTATTTCATAAACAGCACCCATAAGATGAGCCCAATGTTATTTCCCTAATAATAAAACAATTAAAGTTTCGTTTAAATATCATGTAATCCAGTTCAAATTGTGTATATTATTAATCTATAGTTTAATTCTTTAACTATTTTGCAATTCCTTTTATAATATTATTTGTATTTACTTGTTATGGTTGAGCATCAAGTCTCGGCCTCAACGTAGATGACAACTTTTGAAAATACCTTTTTAATTTTTATCAATGACCACAAGAACAACAATAATTAACACCGGGGTGGAACTAAAACAATAGAGCATTTAAGGTAAACAAATAAAACAATTTAAAAGTGTATAGGTATCTGTGCAGGAGGAACAGCCAATACTGAAAAATTATATTACCAGAATGTGTCTTGTAGACAGTAGACATAGTGCTCCGTATGTCCAGCTTCGTTAAGTTATTGTGTCTACTAAAATACTTAAAATAAAAACTTGATTAAGCAATTATATTATATGACAACTTACGATTATCCTATTCAACTCCTACATTACGGGAAAGTTGGTACAGTAATCGAAGAAGAAAAGCTTGGGATTGAAAAAATGACCATATATGGCAATTTAGATCCTTAACATTCGACTGAAACCATATCTCAAACCCTGCAATGAATTTTCATAGTGATTTGATCTTAGGATCGTCCTGATTTAGGATCTGAGATGAAAAGGTTAAATTTTCAAAAGGTATGAAGATACACAGGGTGCAATTGAAATACAAATAATTAAGATCTCGTTGCTGGAAGGACGCCTTTCTTTAAAGATCCGATTGCACATTCAACCAAATATGATTAGTTTCCTCATAATTCATGTTGAACAGTGAAGTGCAAAAAGTCAAAAGCGATATCTTACAGAAAGAAAGAAAAACATGTGTACTAAATTGTGAAATATATAACACTATTTTTGTGGTACAAGGGATATACAATTTTCAAAATTAACGTATAAATCATTCCCGATAATACATCTAACAGTTTAAACTTTTTAAATGACTTATATTGTTTGACATGTTGAAGAATCTGCCGCTTTGATACAAGTAAAATGCGTAATACATGAAAACATATGTTTCTCTCTGTCTCTCTATGTATGTCTCTGTTTCTGTCATCATTTCCTTCAGAGAGAAGCTCATGTGTTTTCAGACAACGAATATATTCTTACATCGGATTATTAATGCTAGAAACATCATGCATTAACTCAAAAGGGTTAAAAAAGGAAAATTAAACGAATAGAAGACTTACAAGTAGTTGTATATGTGTTTGATTTTTTGCTATCTTGTTTTCCACCAATTTTATTTTGCATCCAGCTGAGGAACTGTAAATTATAAAAAAACAAAAAACATTCTGGTGGTATTAATAACATGAACTAATGTAAGATGAGAGAGAGAGAGAGAGTACCTTCATTGTGAGAGCAGGGAATGAATGCGCTTAGTGTGAAACTAGCAGCAAGTTAGAAAATAAAAAATATATATGTATATATAGTTGAGGAGAAAAGGTGGTGATGGTGGTAGGAGGATAGTAATGAGGAGAGGGAGACACTTTTTAACGAAGTGAAATTCTTTGTGAGCGGATCTTGGAAGCCAATGGCTTTGAGGGCTCAGCTTTGGGACTAGAAAATTGAGATGGGAATTTGATGAATTTCATGGCCAAATTGACCGTAGCCTCATTTCTCTTTGGTTCAAGTCCCCAAACACGACCTAATTTACGATAAATTATTCAATGATGTGGTCATATGTAATTTTTTTTTAAATTATAAAATTTATATAAGTTACATAATATAATTATTTTTTTAATCTTTTTTATGTATTCGACTAATATCTCTTCGTTAATTTCTCTTTTGTTTCTTTAGATAGTCAACGTGTTTGTTGTCGAATTTTAATTAATTGAAAAGTTTGTTGAATAAAAAGAGTTTTATGTATAATTATATTATTAATATTTTTTAAATGTTATGTATACAAACATTTTTCTAGTTACTAGTTGAAAAGTGTTTTTTTTTTTGTATAATATTTAAGTAATTTATTTTTTATTCATTCAATTTTTTAAATTATTTTTTTTTACTTTTTTACATTAAAAAGAAAGAAAATATGTTACAAATCATATAAATAAATATAATAATATTTATTATTTTATAAAACAATAAATTGTTAATGTCTAGAGAAAGATTTACTAAAGTTATTAAATCTTATTTTTATAATAAATTATTTATAACTAGAAGTAAAATTAAAGTTTTATTTCCATTTAAAAGATGAAAAATGAATAAACTAAAATATAAAAAATTATAGTTTTTAAAAATATATGATTATTAGTTAGTCTAACAGCTAGTTTTATTCAATACTTTTAATTTAATCAATTAAGTTTTCATATTTTAGCTAGTTATTCAAACACATCCATTATATATTAACATTATTAAAAAAATTAAACTTATATTTAAAGATATAATAATTATTTTTTATTAAAAATACATGATATCGTAAGATTTGATATATTTATAATATTAAATATTATATTTTTTATATAAAATTATTTTTTATTAATTATTTATTTACACTTATCGTGATATTAATTTACACTCTTATCCCCAGTCATACTTGTATAAAATGCATAAGACATTCTTCTCTTACATTCTTATTCGTTATTCATTCGACCTTAATTTCTTTCTTTATCAACAACACGTGGGGGAGAATACTTTTAAGGGGTATGATTCTAAGTGGGCGTATTGTGTCAACCTTTTAACCATTAGATCACAAGAATGCTTATCTTGATAAGATTGGAGTGCTAAAGAGGGAACTAGTCTCTATACAACTGTAATATAAGGCTTAGTCATGGCGGGATCTTCGTTAAAGAGAGCACATAAAGACTAGTAGATTAAGATTCATCGAATTTCAATAATAATAATAATAATAATAATATAAATAGTTACAGGATCATGTCAAATTTCAACATGAAAAGAAGAAGCTATAAACATGTGTTTTCTAGTACATAAACTCACTCTTCTAAGACCCACAAGACTAGAATTTGACTGAAATTCGTACAAACAAAACAATTGCTCGCATAGTCTAGTTTTTGTCGGTTTGGTTGCACATCGCAAATGTACTAGCATCCATTAATATGGTTAGGTTTGTGGAGAAGCCGCATAATTCTAATATTCGGAATATAATATGATATTCTTCGCTAACGTGTATATGTAAAAGTGCATGTGGTCTTGGAACTTGGAAGGTGAGTCTAGTTTGAAGAGATCGAGATGATCAGAATCCATTCTGTAGCAACTAAGTAATATAATTTGTAAAATTAGAAAATGGAAAGATGATTGTGGTTGTATTGGTGAATAAAATAATATGGAAATCTGTGGCAGACAAATTATCTTGATCTTAAATGAGGTATGGGCAGAGCCAAGAAAAAACAAGTGAGAAAATAAGGATGAAAATGAAGGAGGGAATAGGGTCAATGGTCATTAGCATATATAAGTACGAGTATGTGCGACATTTGAAACAATGAGGAGCACCCACACTCGCATGGGAATGTCGCTCACTTACCGGACCGATTCCTGGATTTCACCTGCTCCAATTATAAACTAGTGCTTTTAGTACATGGACTCCATAACTAGAATTGCGAGAGCTTGGCTGTAATGTACAACATGACCAACCACAAATGTGAAGGTGCTATCTACATCCTTGATGCTTTCACACAAATCAACTTTTTGCCATCCTCACCGTTCCCCTTTTAGCTCAATGCAAGCACCTACTTATTCTCTCAGCTGACCGCTTATTACCATAAGCCATTTTCTTTGTGTCACATTAAACAGGAAAACTCACTTTTTAGAGTAGCAAAAAGGGTTCGGAGAAATATCAAATTGAGGATGGCACCTCATCATCATACCATTCCAGGCAAAGCTACAATCCCAGCCCGTCGCACATGTTTTCGTAACGGGTACAACATAAATTTGACAAAATTTAGTAGTAATTATAAAATAAAACAAAATTATACCCTACAATAATTACTCGCAGTTAAAGTGAAATGTAATTTATTATTTTTTACAAATTTTTTATTTATATAAATTCACAATATTTGATATATTGTTATTATTATTTTAGAATAATTATATTTTAAAATTATTATAATTTATTATGTTTTATTTATTTTATTACATATTTTTATAATCATAGAATTCAGTTAATATATATATATATATATATATATATATATATATTAAAATAAAATACATGTGCGTGGTATTAAGTTGTCTAAACAAAACTCAAACACTCGTTTAGTAACCTATAATTTTTTCATACTGAGTTTTAATTTACATATTAAGAGCCAAATAATAATTGATTGAAAACGTTTTAGTTGTTTTTTAAAGGATTAGACCAAAGCTTTTGTGAATGATAGGTTCAATTGGGCCGATCAGTATATCATCATTTCTAAATTATTTTATGGAATAAATAGTCCCATTTTGCATTACGATATTGAGTTACGTTTTTATTTATTTTTTTTATAAATAAGATATGAATTAATTCACTTATAACGAAGTTGCTTATCCTATGGGCCAAAGAATAATTTAGATGTACTCTTTTTTTCGACCTTTTTGTTTTGTCAATTTTTGGAAATTTATTTTTTGCAGGTTGATTGAAGCGTTCAAAGTACCAACTTTAGCTTCTCTGGTCCTACCAAGCAAGTCTGGTTCTAAAATCTATGCAACAAAAATGAAGAAGTAGTATATATCTAACGTTTTTAAATTATACTATTTCTGGTATTAAATTTAAGATTTTTTAATTACTTTCAACTATTAAAAACATAATTAATCTCTTTAATAACATTAAATTTATGAATAATTGATATAAATCATTTTTCAAAACTGTCCTTAAAAATATTGGCATTCATTATATATCTTACTCTTTTTCGATTTAATTAATTACTTCATTTCAATTAAAAATATTTTTGTAAAAGTATAATTAATAAAAGAGACAACTTTCAAGAGTCTTATAAAAATGATCATAACAATTTATTCGAAAAAAGTTTTATATTTAGAATAATAGATAGCAATATTTAATTAACGAGTAACACATTCAATTTTATTTCAATATTTTTTTTCATAAATTCAAATTTGTGTAAATAATTAAAAAAAATTATATATATATATATATATATATATATATATATTAACAATAAAATTGTCCAAACAGTTGTCAACTTTATGAAACTTTATTCCAACCGCTTTGATGACGATTTGTATTAGAGATATGATTTAGCCCACAGTTGGAGATTAATCGAATACCTCTGAAGTGCAAAAATTATAAATAGATTTTATTTTTGTTTGGGGTAAAAAAAATTTCTAAGTTATAAAATCATATTGAAAGAAACTATATTTTGAGAAGTTTTAAAAAGATAGAGAAGGAGTCTCATTCTTTATTGAAAATTAGATTTGAACTCAAGAAGTGTTCAAAGGTTGTTAAGAATCTTAATTTTTGTCGAAAATGTCACATTTCAAGTTGTTTTAGATGTTTTTGTCACATTCCTAATTTTTCTCAAAACTGCTTGAAAGATAGGAGAATAGTAGAAAAATATTTTAAGTTCACAAGATCGAAGACCTTTTCGAGGAGTTTTTGAAGCTTTTTTAGTCCATTAGATTGAAGGTTGTTAGAGGAGTTTTCGAGAATTTTAAAGTCCCAGACCTTCTTCAGAATGGCTCGAAAAGCAAGAAGTGGTCAGAAAATATTACAAGTCCACAAACTCGAATTGAGCTCCAGATTTCCTCGAAAAACAGGAATGAGCAAAGGAAATATTCCAAGTCCACATGACCTAAAAGTACTCTCAGTTTGCACCAGAATTAGTCGAAAGATAGAAATCGATAGAAAAATTACTCTAAGTCCACAATGCTAAATGAACTTCTTTGATTTCTCTCATAAATGCTTGAAATACATAAAGGTCCATAAGAGTCTAGAAACGATTACTAGCAATGACCAGCAATTATTACCAGACAAATATTCAACAACATAAAGAAAGATCATGAGCGATAACAGTTACGGAAAGAGCCTTAACCAACAGAATGGTCATAAACAATTGTGGATAATGGGAAATGCAAGCACGCATAGAAGATAATTACTAAGAAAGTACCCACAAAAGAAAGAGGACGGTGGTGATCCTCCTACCTATAAATACCTCAAAATTGTATTCTATGGAGATGACTTTTTGCACCCAAATACCGCACTTAAAATTCTTTGCACACTGAGAACTTGCACTGCGTCAGACACCAGTTACAAAGAGATATATGATTGTTGCTTGTCATTGCTAGAAGTCGTATGTTTACATTCCGCACCT